TGGGAGCTCCTAAAAATCAAACACTTATGCTCATCAAAAGACTTCACCAAAAGAGTAAAAAGACAACCTACAGACTGGGAAAAAATTTTTGGCTATGACAAATCCGATTAGCGTCAAATCTCTAAAATCTACAAGATACTGCAAAACCTCAATAACAAAAGGACAAACAACCCAATTAAAAAATGCGCAAAGGATATGAACAGGCACTTTGCCAAAGAAGACGTTCAGGCGGCTAACAAACACATGAGGAAATGCTCACGATCATTAGTCACTAGAGAAATGCAAATAAAAACTACAATGAGATACCATCTCACCCCAACAAGGCTAGCTTTAATCCAAAAAACACAAAATAATAAATGTTGGAGACATTGTGGAGACACTGGAACACTTATACACTGTTGATGGGAATGTAAAATGATATAACAACTATGGAAATTGATTTGATGCTTCCTTAAAAAGCTAGAAATAGGATCCAGCAATCCTGCTCCTTGGAATATATCTAGAGAATCAAGAGCCATCACACGAATAGATATATGCACACCCATATTCATTGCAGCATTGTTCACGATAGCTAAGAGATGGAAACAACCTACGTGCCCATCAACGGATGAATGGATAAACAAATTATGGTATATTCACACAATGGAATACTACACAACGATAAAGAACAACGATGAATCTGAAACAGCTTATAACATGGAGGAATCTGGAAGGTATTATGCTGAGTGAACTTAGTCACAAAAGGACAAATATTGTGTAAGACCACTATTATAAAAACCCAAGAAAAGGTTTAAACACAGAAGACAACATTCTTTGATGGTTATGAGGGTGGGAGGGAGGGAGAGGGGTATTCACCAAATAGAAAATAGAGAAGAATTATCTTAGGTGAAGGGAAGGATACCACACACTACAGGGAAAGTCAGCACAACTGGACTAAACCAAAGCTAAGAAATTTCCTGAATACAACCAAACATAACAAGGGACAGAGTAGCAGGGGCAGGGGTCTGGGGACCATGCTTTCAGGGGATATCTAGGTCAATTGGCATAACAAAGTTTTTTAAGAAAATGTTCTGCATCCCACTTTGGTGAGTGGCATCTGGGGTCTTAAAAGCTAGCAAGCAACCATCTAAGATGAATCAATTAGTCCCAACCCACCAGGAGTAAAGGAGAATGAAGAATACCATGCACACAAGGAAAATATTAGCCCAAGAGACAGAAAGGGCCACATAAACCAGAGACTTCATCAGCCTGTGACCAGAAGAACTAGATGGTGCCCGGCTACCACAATGACTGCCCTGACAGGGGACACAACAGACAGTCCCTGATGGAGCAGGAGAAAAGTGGGGTACAGAACTCAAATTCTAGTAAAAAGACCAGACTTAATGGTTTAATTAAGACTGGAGGGACCCTGGAAGACGTGGCCCCTGGGCTCTTTGTTAGCCCAAAACTAAAACCATTCCCGAGGCCAACTCTTCAGACAAAGATTAGACTGGACTATGGGACATAAAATGATACTCATGCAGTGTACTTCTTAGGTCAAGAAGATACATGAGACTAAATGGGCAGCTCCTGTCCAGAGGTAAGATGAGAAGGCAGAGAGGGTCAAGAGGTGGTTGAATGGACACAGGAAATCCTGGGTGGAAAGGAAGAGTGTGCTGTCACAGTATAGGGAGAGCAAGTAGGGTCACAAAAAAGAATGTTTGTATAAGTTTTTGTATGAGAGACTAACTTGAATTGTAAACTTTCACTTAAAGCACAATTAAAAAAAAAAAAGTCTGCTCAGTACCAAGGCACAGAGTAAACTCTTGATGAATGTTATTTCCAGACCAAAATCTTTTAATTAATGCTTTTATTTAATCATGTTTAAAAGTACTGCTATCACCTTTAAAGACAGCCAAAAAAGAATGTGTAACAGACTCCCAGGACAGCAACTCTCCAGGTAAACAGTCTCCACCATTCTCCTATTGTCCAAGTGACACTGAAGCCACATGTAGATTTCCACTGATCATCAGTCTTGAACTGTGTTTTTTCTTACAGCAGAGTTAAAAGGAACATGCAGCGTTTGTTATGCCCAGCCCAACTTATTCATTCATGTTACCTGCCTTGCGTATACTGGCTATTTGTTAATAGATACATATACTACCATAGGGGCCCTGGTGGCTCAGTAGTTAAGTATTTGGCTGCTAACCAAACGGCTGGCATTTCAAATCCAGTAGCCACTCTTGCAACCCCACAGGGCAGTTATACTCTGTCCTATAGGGTCGCTATGAGTCAGAATCGACTCGACAGCTATGGGTTTGGTTTTGGTTTTATGCTACCATGTTCTAGAGTAGAGGGAAACTAAAAGGTAATCAATTTCCTTAAACTGATGCAATAGTAGGTTTAAGCTTAATGCATTTACTTTTTTTGCACGATGTTTAACGAGTATAAAAATTGTTTCCAGAATACGGTCAAAATAGTATACTTACTCAGAAATAGCTTTAGCATCTTCAGCACTTTTGTCCTTAAAATCAAGAAGCTCCTGAAGACTCTGGATATACCTAAAACATAAATCAAGAGGGTAAGTTTGTTGTTTTACATTCTGAAAGTTCAATATTTTGAAAATGCTCAAAAGCTATTTCTTAACATTTCTTAAACTTAATTTAGAATACTGCTATAAATTACGGTTAATGCAGGATTTTTTTTTCTTTTTATTGTGCTTTAAGTGAAACTTTACAATTCAAGTTAGTTTCTCATACAAAAATTTATACACACATTGTTATGTGACCCTAGTTGCTTACCCTGTACTGTGACAGCACACTCCTGCTTTCCATCCCTGATCTCCCATGTCCATTCAACCAGCTCCTGTCCCCTTCTGCCTTCTCATCTCGCCTCCGGACAGGAGCTGCCCATTTAGTCTCATGTATCTACTTGAGCTAAGAAGCACGCTCTTCATGAGTATCATTTTATGTCTCATAGTACAGTCTAATCTTTGTCTGAAGAGTTGGCCTTGGGAATGGTTTTAGTTTTGGGCTAACAGAGAGTCCAGGGGCCATGTCTTCTGGGGTCCCTCCAGACTCAGTCAAATGAGTAAGTCTGGTCTTTTTACTAGAATTTGAGTTTTGCACCCCACTTTTCTGCTACTCTGTCAGGGACTCTGTTGTATTCCCCGTCAGGGTGGTCATTGGTGGTAGACGGGCACCATCTAATTCTTCTGGTCTCAGGCTAATGGATAATGCAGGATTTGTATACCCATTCACATTCCAGCAAAGTGACTGGCACACTGTAGCAGAAGGTGTACATTTTCTCCTCAAAGCATATGTCAAATTTGATTTAAGAATTTTAAGATGTCCTACTGCTTTTTTTTAAAGGAGCCCTGGCAGCACAATAGTTAAGCATTCAGCTGCCAACCAAAAGGTTGGCAGTTTGAACCTACCCGGCAGCTCCATGGGAGAAAGATGTGGCAGTCTGCTTCCATAAAGATTACAGCCTTGGAAGCCCTATGGGACAGTTCTAGTCTGTGCTATAGTGTCACTGTTGAAGAAGGTAACTAAATGGCAGTGAGGTGTTTTTAGCTCAGGGCCTGCACTGCCATTGTACCTGGCTTCATTACATTGAGAAAATCATTTGGCCTTTCTTCCTCATTTTGCTCATTCCTTAACAAGTGCTTTGCTACCTTGAATTATTTGGTAAATTAAAACCCTACATTCTCATGACTTTTTTGCACAGTTCTGTTTAAAAGAGCCACATGGTAGATAGCATACTTTGAGTAAATATTTGTTCATTAGACGTAAACATCTAAAATTAAGGTTTTAAAGCAAAGACATTTAAGTTAGCCTCCTAGAGCAGGGTAGGCTGGTTCCTTTTATCGAGACTAAGACAGGTTAAGTCATTTGCCCAAGATCACATAGTTATTGGTGATAATTTCAGTTCCTACAACACCTAGTATTCCTACTGTAATGTACAGTTGTGAATAAAAGAAATTTTCAAACTATTTTAGGGTATAGAACTTAAAAATAGGGTGATTTTCAACTCATAGTGACCCCATGTGACAGAGCAGAGCTGTCCCATAGGGTTTCTAGGCTGTAATCTTTACAGGGAGGAGCTCTGGAGGCACAATGGTAAGTTCTGCTCTTCTGTCGGTGCTTTGTCTACAACTGCCCTAACTGAGCAGCCATCCAGGACCCAGATGGTATTACCAACCAAACCTGTTGCCACTGAATTGATTCCAACTCACAGAGACACTATAGCACAGACTAGAACTGTCCCATAGGGCTTCCAAGGCTGTAATCTTTATGGAAGCAGACTGCCACATCTTTCTCCCATGGAGCAGCTGGTGGATTCTAATCACTGATCTTTTGGTTAGCAGCCAAGCAGTCAACCACTGCGCTACCAAGGCTCCTTCAAGGGGCAATGAAAGTGTTTAAAAATCTGTAAATTCATGTGTTGGTGCAGAAAGTTGTCCCTAAATAACAAAATGCCTCACTGCATTCCAGAGTTATGTACAAATGATTCTGGTATCGTTAACCCTTAATTTTCTCTTCATCGGCAAGAAAAACTGCACTTCATTCAAGAAACATTCAAGACATATTTGAGTATCTATAATGTGCTAGGCACATAACAGGCTTCAAAAAGTAGCATATTCTATTTTTAATGAAGAATTTTTTTAAAAACAGAAATAAGCTTCTGTAGAAAAGTATATTTTCTCCTTTATATTCCAACATAATTCCTAAACAAATGCCTCTTACTTACACCAAATTTATAACTGTTCCTTACTTGGACCAGTAGCATCTGATTATCATATGTAGAAGTCATCCTTATTTCACTTTTTTTTTTAAAAGAAGATCAGTTTCTCTCATAAACCATAATACCTACAAAAGGAAAGCTAGACTCTCCAAGAATCATAATTGAGAAACATCTTGCAGGTATTTTTTTTTTTTTTTTTTTTTTTGCTTTTAAGGCTTAACTCTACCCAGCTCTTTTGTTTGAAATTTATAGTACTTAAAAGAACTAACACTTTCAAATTAGTATCATTAACACTGATAATAAAGATGACCTATAGGCATGCACACCTTTAACACCACTACTGCCATTTTTTGGAAAAGAGATCAAAGTTAGTTTGAGCATGTATGAAGAAAAACAATACAGATCTAGGGGATAAAAGTAAAAAGAGAAGAGGTCTGGATGGACCCCAACATTGGCCAAGCATGTGTGAGCTCATTTGGTCTTTACAGGGATACTTTTGTCCCCATTTCAGAGCGGGGGAAACTGAGGCTCAGAAAGAGGTGTGATATACCCAAAGTCATGCTAATAAGTGCCAAATCTATGATTTAAACTCAGGAGTCCCTGAGTGCTGCAAAGGGTTTAATGCACTCAGCTGCTAACCGAAAGGTTAGATGTTTGAGTCTACACAGAGGCATTTCAGAAGAAAGGCGAGGCAATCTACTTCAGAAAAATCAGTCTTGAAAACCCTGTGAAGCACAGTTCTACTCTGACACACACGAGGTCGCCATGGTTGAAGTTGACTCAACGGCAACTGGTAAAGAATAACAAAGCATTTGCTTGAAGTTGAGTAAAGCCCACAACTCCCTCAAAATTGCAAACACAGGACTTCTGGACAACATGGCGCTATAGTCAGAAGCACCACACTGTCCCTCCTCAGCAAAGATCAGAAAAACTAAGTCAAACAGAGTCACACGTCAATTCTGAAACCCTAAGCATCAGATGAAGAGATAAAGAACTCAGCCAAGCACTGAATGGAATAAGAAACTGATTGAGAACAGAGCTCAAGGAGAGACACATGCAGAGCTCCCCTATCAGCTACCGCAGCACAGATCTGCCATCCTGGACTCCTGTCAGAGATCAGCGAACAGGAGGTATGAGAAAGCAGCTTCACAGAGCTTCCAGCAGGAGACAGAACAACCAGTAACCCATGATATAGGCTTTCCCACCCCCCACCCTTCTTCACCCCCACTTAGCCTCCTCTGCTTCCTGCAGCCACAGTCTATTGGCCAGGAAGCACGAGCTTCCCCCAAATGCCGCTTGGATTCCACCCGCCCACACTGGCCAGCTCCCTGAGTGCCATTTGTTAGCTACTGGTGTTGCTTTTTTCTGCTTCTTTAGATTTCTTCCTTATCTCTCATCACCTCCCCCTCCTTTCTCTCAAATACCTGGCTCCATGCACCGTCTTTGCTTCTTCCTGAAAGGCTGCGAAACACCGCATGACTGTGAAACTGCTTCCAGGCCTGTGCCGCCATGCTGGTGGGACCCCCGGGGCTTTTTTGTTTGTTTGTTTGCCCTGATTTGTTCTATTTCGATTTGTTTGTTGGTTTTCTTTTTCTTTTCTTGGCTTGGGAGCCCCTTCTAGCCAGGCAGTACCACGCAGCTTGGAAGCTAGTCCCTTATTCTGCACAGACGCATGGGGACATCCCTGGGGGCATTTTTTTTTTCTTGTTTTTTTGAGGTTTTTTTTGTTTGTTTTTGTTTTTTTTTTTCATTTCTTTGCTTAATTTTCTTCTCTCTCTTACTCCCTTTTTGTCTTTCTTCATTTCCAGTTTCTCGATTTATTCATTTTTTTCTTTTGCCCTTTTTCTTTTTTTTTCATTTTTGTTTTTCCCCATTTCTCAGCCTCTCATCTCTCCACTCCAATAGCAAGCTCACTTAGCACTCTTTTTTGTTTGTGTGTATGTTTTTGGCTCCGGTTCCTCTCTCCTCTCTCTCGTCTTTCCCATATCCATCTTAGCTCCACACATCACAATCTACCCCCTCCTCCCTGCCTACCTGCACCATGCGCTGAACATCACACTCCCAAGCAGCACAGGCACGGCCTACTGGAACCTGCCCTGCACTGATTCCCGGTCTGCACTATCAGTGCTGGTACATGCCACAAAAAACCTATCCCTGCAACTCCCCTTCAACTAGACCTGCCCTGCTGTAACATACCTGAGTGACTGACCCTGCCCATTGCAGAAGGAGGTGAAAAGTATCATGCCCACAGATGAGCAAACAACAAAGAACGCACAGCCTGCCTGCTCAGACATAGCCAAATAAAACAAAAAAGCAGGATGAAACAAACAAATCTACAATCAATAAACGAGGAAAATAACCACTGAATGCCCCAAAAGACAGCAGACAATATCAAAACATTTACAAAAACAGGACAAGATGGTTCCAGTAGGCGTCCAAAATAAAACAACAGATGACCTTACAGTAGAAGAATAGGCACTAGACCAAACTGATAGGGAATTTAAATCTCTAATATTCAGAATTATCCAAGAGTTGAAGCAAAAAACAGACAAAAATGAGGAAAAAATAGACAAATTCATGGAAACGGCAGACAAATTCATGGAAAATACAGACAAAAAAATGGAAGAATTCAAGAAAATAATACAGGAACAAAATGATAAAATAAATTCACAACTAGAAATCATACAAAAACAACAATTAGAAATCCAAAAGATAAACAACAAGATTTCAGAAATGGACACTGTCATGGAAGGGCTGAGGAGCAGGTTTGAAACGATGGAAGATAGGATCAGAAAAATTGAAGACAACCACTTGGATACAACTGTGAGGAAAAATCAGAAAAAAGAATGAAGAAAAATTAAGAAACCCTGAGAACTATGTGGGATACAATCAAAAGCAAAAAT